CCCGGGCTCGAGGCCGGGTTTCCCGTGACCTCTGCTTTGCCCGGGTCCCGCAGTTTCTTCTACATCAAGTTTCTAGGTTCTTTGTAGCCAGACTTGAAAGATGGAGAGGGGAACGGGGCACATGGAGGTGTGTCCTGGGACCCAGGGCCTCAGGACAGAGCTGCCCACCGCAGCCCCCGGCCCCAATTCCGATTTGTCACCAGGGGTCCCCACACGAAGCCCTTGCTTCTTTCCTTTTGTGTAACAAGCCCTCGGAGCTCTCAGGGCAGGGCCCGGCTCCCGGCTTAGCCGCTCTGGGCAACGGCACATGCAGTTGGGATAAAAACAGCAGCAAAGCCGGGCCGGCCTGGCTCAGGGGTTGAGGGTCGACCTAGGAACCAGGAGGTCAGGGTTCGGTCCCCGGGCGGGGCACAGGCCTGGGTTGCAGGCTCGACCCCCACTGTGGGGCGAGCAGGAGGCAGCCGACCCAGGACTCTCTCTGATTCATGTTTCTCTCTCGCTCTCTCTCCCTCGCCTGCCTCACAGGTCACGGCTTCTCTCCTGAAGCCAGAGCTCGGGGTGAGGACCACACGTCACTGCGGCACGCGGACACTTGTACGTTTTATTTAGGTTAATCAGCCATGGTACACGGTCTGCAGCTATGTGTGGTTAGTGGTGTACTTTCCCCATTAACTGGTACATGCCTCATAGATATATTCAATTAGGGTTATCGCCATGGGAACAAGATGCTGATTCGTCAACTGAAAATGCACTTCTTCTCACAGGATTCAAGTTTTCTGATCACACAGCAAAATTCAAAACAAAGGTGAAGAACGTCACACAGACGTCACCTGCACTGCGAGTTACACAACAGCCACGCTTTCCCCACTCAGGGAGGGTCCGAGGGCGCCGTCTCCACACCGGCTGCCGGACGAAGCTTCCTTCCTGCCCAGAGGCCCCGCGCTGGCACTGGGTCAGGCCTGGTTGTGACACTCCCGCCCGGGAAACCCTCGGGGTGACGCTCCCCAAATGCCGCGCTGGCACTGGTCCTCATCATGACCTTGGGAGCAGTGACTCATTTCTGCTCGACAGGAAAAGACCGGCCGGAATGGGGAAGGGCTCCATCCGCGAGGAGAGAGCGGGTCTGTTTATAAGTCATCTCTGCTGGATACACTTCTCTTCCATAAGGAACTGATCCAGAGATGCTCTGTGCATAGGAATATACTTGCAATAGGCCGCCCGCCCTCTGAAACGCACACCCAGGGAGGCGCACACAGGCCCTCCCTGTTTCCCAAGGGAGTCTGGATTTCAAATAAATAAACCCCAAATTTCAACCAAAACGAAACTGGTGGTGATGCCTCCATCTCTCCTGCGAGCTCACCGCCCCGGGGAGGGAGTGGAAACCGCCACCTCACAGAAGAGGGTCCGACTTGGGAGGGTTTCAGATGCGACATGCAGGCGTCAGTGGAGAGTGAACGCGGAGAGAGAGGAGGAGTCTGGTCTGTGTGTCGTGGGCAGATCCTGTTCCCAAGGTTGTATCTACGGAGCCGCGGCCAGAGGAGGGGCCACGGGTAAGACAGCGCGGTTTGCTCAGCAGCAATGAGATCTGGAGACTACAGCGTTACAGCTCGTCGATACCCTGCCAACGTGTCCGAAATCAAAGACCTGAAGACGCTAGGAGGCCCCGGGCAGCTGCTAGCACCTGGACGCCCTGCTCCCTGCCTGCCTGGGGCCGTGGCCGGGGGCTCCCAGGCCATGGCTGTGCTGGCGGCAGGACGGGTGGTCGAAGGTGCCTCTCCTGCAGCGGCCGGGCGTGCTGTCCTCCGGTTGTGTCCGCAACCCCTGAACTTGCCATGTCCAGCGCTTCCAGGGCCCCTGCTCCCGGTGCCCACGTGGTGACCCCAGGCAGTGGCTCTCACCCACCGTGTGCTCATCTGAGCGTTTTCTATGTACATGGTACCCGGACGCTCTTGCGGGACGCCTGTCGCCTGCTGTCACGGGAGAGTCTGTGGGAGCCCAAGGCCGAGGGCCCCCGTGGGGCTGGGCGAAGTGGAGGAGGGTGAGCGCCAGTTCCCAGGGCAGCCGGAGGCCGGGAGCCGGGACCCAGCACCGGGGAGGAGGCTCTCTTTGGTCACAAATTAGCTGACAGTTAAGGGGACACTAACCAGGGAGCGTGTGCTCAGCGTGGGGGGCGGGGGGGGGGCAGGCAGGTGTCTCACAATTGGCGCCGTGGGCTGAGGGTCTGGGGAGCCGGCCTCAGGTGGCCTCCTGCTCCAGGTCGTCCCCGCACAAGTGCCGCAGGAGCTGCTGGAGGTCGCGCTGGAGGTCATCCCGCTGCAGGGCCTCGGGCACATCCTCCAGGGACTCCAGGTGCACGCGCTTCCCACGCCGGTCCCTCACCACCGCCCGCTTCTGCGTGCGGGCCTTATGGAGCGTCGTCCTGGGGGGAGACCACACAGGGTTAGGCCTGCTCTGCCGAATTCACCGCTCACCATTTCGCACTGGCTCAGGGGAGCGGTTCATTCCCAGAGTGACCCCACTTAAACTGGCCTGGGGGAAACCACGTGAAACGCACTCAAAGCTTC